GGCTAGTTTTCACAGATTACTCCCTTTGTAGTAAAAGTGAGCCAAGGTCCCATAGAAGCCTCCTTCATGTGGGCACAGTACTCTGTATCACTGTACCTTGATAACAGACTTTTTCTCTGGCTGTCCCGTTGTTTCACTGCTGTATAAACAAACAGAACCACAGCACAACAGAAACTAATCGTCCGCGTCGAGGAATCAAGAGGGATAATGCGTAAAAATTTAGCGGAATCTCATAAAGATTAGGACCCCCAAATTTATTCTACCTCATAATTAAAAACCCTTACATTAAATTAACTTTATCTAACAACATAACACATAACCCCTCTAGTTAGCGTTAGGGTGTACAGTATACTTATCAAATGAAATACGCTGGGTATCCTAATCATCAAGAGATCCATCTGTTATTATTTGTGAGAAGTAGGTCAGTGATCTTCAAGTGCAGACTAATATAAACATCTTGGCTCTCATGGTTCCTCCCGTAGAGTAAGATCATAAACAGGTGGACTTAGACGCCTGATTCACCCTTCCTGCTGATGATAATAGTAAACCATATCAGTTTAGTTCATATAATTAGAAGTCGGTGTGTGAATATGTGAAAGATCTAGAAAAAAATATCATAATCCCATTAATGATACACACGATCATCCTAGAGCCTAGTTTGAGGAGTGTAAACGGGTAATAAAGGCAGTGAAATGTAAACACGAGACTGACGGGGGGTCGAGCACTTCAGCCTCGGTACCAAGACCTATCGTGGTAATGACTCTATACTTCACCACCCGTCCTTGACTTGGCCGGGAATTGTTGGTATATATTCATGTTAATTTATACTTCAAAGTTTACAGAGGATTTAGATATATTTTTAGGTGCAGGGAAGATTGGTTTAATGTTGTATAAACGAAGCTCGATGCAGAAATATTATGAAGATAGTGAGAGTGGAAGCCGAAGCCCTGGAGAAGCCACACAGGTTGAGACACTAAGTGGAGTGGCCGAGAGGAGGCGACGAGGAACGCGGTCCTGGAATGTCAACACAAGCCTGGAATAGTGTCTCCCTCGACCCGGGATTACCTAGTCCTAGAGATGACCATCTCGGGAGGGAGGGGGACCTGGAGATCAGTTGGGTGTGTGTACTCGTAAGGACCGGGCGTGTGGTGGTGGACCCCGTACGACGCCGTGTTTAAGGTGTCTGTCTGCACGTGGTAATCAGCTCCTGAGTATGTTAGATGGTGGCCCTTCTTGTTACGAAGGTTCCTCAAGATTGACCTTTTTATATAATTATTATGTAAGTAAAGGTAGACTTTCAGTCCCCAGTGGAGTTGTATATTTACGAAGTGGTTAACGTGGCCGTGTCGGAACGTGATGACAATAAGGTTTGAATACCAAACGACGAAATTTTCTCCTCGACATTGGTTTTGGATTGGCTCGTCACTTCGCCTTTCGGGTATTTAGGTCGTTCTCTTCCTCCAAGTAGTTGATAAACTATCGTAGTTTCTTTAATATGTTTAAACAAAAGTGTTTACAAGTAATTAACGATTTCTCTACCCTTCCATTTTCACCATAGCTCTTAATACTAAAAACAGAAAATTCATATACAAATCAATCTGTATATATTAAAACGAATCGCTAATGCCAGCAGGGTAGGAGTTGACCTCATTACTCTTATGACTAGCTAAGCTTAAGCACCTGAGGAGGGTCACGCTCGTACTTCCCACCTTCTAAGTAAAGATTAATCTGTCCTAGCCTCGTGAGTCACGCTTCTCAGTTCTCACTCGTCTCATTACTCTCGAGGGCTACGAACCTCGTTTCGGTGACCGGCTCATTTGTTGATTTTTATATTACTTGTAAGATCGTGAAGTTTAAATATTTCGTATATACACGAGGTGTATATAGTCGATTGTATATTGTTAAGCAGTGGGTGCAGTCGCCAAAGCACCTGTACTGTACGTTACGTATGTTCTAAACTGGACATTATTATACAGTAATCGGTTTATGAAAAAATTAAATTGAAATCATAATCAGCTTTGGGTACACTTTTGCTTTATTTTATATGGTAGCACCAAACAGTATACTTTATATAACAGGAAGAAATAGTTTGATGTGAAAGTGTCTTTAGGCTTGTAGGCGTCAGGCGTGTAGGTGTATCCCCGCGTGTCAAGACTCGCTGGCCGCTGTGTCAACATGGCCACCCCTTGGACGCCGGGAGGTAAGCTTGTGTAAGTGGGGCGGCACCTATATGTACACTCTGTTAGCTTTGGGAATAATCTGGCCATCCCGCGTCCTACACTGAGATATTTGTTCATAAGTCTGTTGGGGTGAGTTTTGTTATGGTAAACCGTGTTGGCTCTGGAACCGGTCTGTAGCTGTCTGGGCGATTTTTTTTCTTTTTGGGATGCACCACTTTAGTAAGTGGTCTCCAACTTGTAGCTTGCGGGCCCCATGGCACCCGCGGAACCTTATTGTGGAGCCCGCAAGGGGTTAATAGAAAATTTTGAAATATTTGGGGTCGCAAGGTGTGTCCGTCTACACTTCGGTTTCCGCTCTAGTCAAGGGTCATGTACAGGAGGGAAGTGTCAGTCTAGTCCATTTTCAGTCTGTTAATACTGTCCATGTGTGCGCTCTAATGTTAATCAGGTGACTGTCTGACTCCTTAAATAATAGTTAAATTCATACATTCAATGGATTATTGGTACAAAATAGCTTGGAGCTTGAAGGATATTACCGGGGTGAGGTGGGGTGGTCATGTACTGTACAGGAGAGGTTAGATTATCGCGGTGACTTGGGAGTTACCAAGGTTCTGTCTGGCGAACTGTACGATTATTATTCTCCAGGTAGACACACCTGTCAGGACTTGCACAAGTTCTCAAACTTTCGCGTCATCAATCACTTACGTATGATTGATTGTTACTGTTGACCTCTGACGAGAAGCAAATTCCCCTGCCTGTTATAAATCGCCATCTTTCTTTCTTTCTTTCTTTCTTTCTTTCTTTCTTTCTGTCCATTTATTTCGTCCATCCACTATTCATTCTGATGTTCCCCTTCCCTCCTGATTCTCCCTTACCCTCCTGATCTCCCTTACCCTAATGTTACACTTTTCCATCTCAAACCTTTATTGTCTACCGCCCCTTCCTCACCCCTTTAAAAAAAAATCAGTTCCTCCCTGGGCACACGTGAGACCAAGGCGGTGAGGGTGGAAGGGGTCGTAGTGACTCACAGTGGACATATGTCACCACGACCTCTGTTCCCTTCAGAGATGTGCTGTGTGTGTGACTATGAATTATATGTGGGTGGGTTTGTGTGATTATGTGGATGGATATGTGTGGTTATGTGGATAGATGTGTGAGGTGGTTGCAGGAATATTGAATCACCAGAAATATTATAATTTACACTCACTGCAATATAGATTTTTCAGTGTGATATAAGTCAGGGGATTATTGTATTATATGAAGATCATAACAAAACTAATGGAGCCAGTAGTGTGACAAGAGTTCTCATAAGATATGTAATTTACGTATTAATTTGAAATATACTGGATGGAAAGCATTTAATATTTAAAGTACATGAACATTTTACACATCGTTGAAAGTTGAAGGTTAGTTTCCTGTTGTGTTTTTTCTTTTACTGTGCTAGAAATTTACTTTACTGTTTTTCTGCGTTACTCTCATATGTGAATACAGGTATAGTATTATTTGCTTGATACATGTTTTACGCCGTGGTGAACTGTCGTTGGCAAGTTTGCAGTTAGCGACTCGTGTGTAAACATTGTTATTGTGGATATTTTATGTTTATCTGCACTGACGATGCTAATTTCTATGCTTATGAATATGTAAAGGCAATGATGTTTTTGTATGTGCGTCGATGTATCTCTTTCGTAACTTGATTGGTGTTCTGTGTTCACATCTGCCCTCACCCCTCCCTGAAAGAGTGCAATTTTGTGGTCGTGGTGAATTGAGGGTAACTAATCGATCAGTTCAACTTGCTACGTGATCAATACAGCGCCAGGGGACAGATGGTGGGTGGGTGTATGCCAAGCTTCAGTTTCCGCATCATTGGATCACTTTGGTGTCATGTGTCGAGGAGAACTCCCACGCCACCCATTTTTTTTCTTTTGTGGTGCATTTCTTTGTTTGAATATGCATTTTCCTCGTATATTGTTTAGTTCTACACTTCATTCTGAAAATTTCTTAAAGTAAATATGAATATGTACTAAACAGCCTAAAAAAAATGTTGCCTTTTTTTCCCCACTCACGAAATTGGCGACACCTACTGTAAATTTAGATGTGATGCATGACTTTTATTAACTTAATGGTTCTCAAAATATGTAACATGTGTAATTTTAGTTACTTTATAAATCTATGGCTCTGAACACATTATTTCCTTCCTTGGTATTGTTAAGTAGAGCGGATATTGCCGGGGTAAACAATGTGGTTTCCTGGTGAGCCGCGCCTCATGTGTCGGTCGTGCGGCAATGGTTACACTTCAGCCTTTGTTGTGGTGTCACGGACCAGGGAGAGGGGGGGGGGGGTTATGTCACTCATTATTGGCAACCAAAGATCTCTTTATGTAATACAATTTCTAAGTGTATTGAAAGTGGTATTACTAATTATAGTTGCATTGTTTAATGTACTGTGACTTTGAGTACTTGAATTTTGAATATTTATTTGTTAGTGATGTAGGTACATAGGACTGATAAGGTAACTATTGTTTATGATACACTCAGGATAACGTGTTAGTAAGATTGCCTAGGATGGTCTATATTTAGTTATTACGAATTGTGCTATCATTATTATGATTGATGTACAGTATATGTTAGTTATACTTGGAATAGTTAGGGTTGTTCATATTATACTAAGGGTAAGGTTGATAGTAGGAAAGGTATTATTAAAATTTAGTGAAATAATAATTCTTGCCGATTAAACAAAAGTGCTATTGTTATACAAGTTCCCGTTGCAATTATATAATCTTCCCGTTTCCCGAGAGTAACTTCCCGTTTTCTTTGCGTACAGGTTCCCAGTTGAAGAGTGCAGCATCAGCCAGCAGCAGCCGCTCCACCTCGCCAGCCAACGGCAGTAGCTCTTTCATCCCCCAGCCAAGAAGCCATGGCGGCAGAGCATCTCTCAGTGAGAAGCACTCAAAGTAAGTACTGTACTGTACCCACCTCAGTAACCTTCACTGACCCATCCACCGAGAGAACGTTTAAAACATCCGGACTACCCCTGTGTTGAGTGTCAAGGTGTTGATATATAGGCAAATATCTTATATGGTCATTAAGTTAGTAACATTGGTAATCTAACTGAGAACAACTACAGGGCATCATACTGTACATGCAAATTTGTGTCAGGAAATAGTATAAATATTTGGCAGTGCGGGCTTGGTAAACATGACTGTATACAGTGCCATGTTGTGTATTATTTTAAAGATATTTAATGTTTTTAAGTTGAGGTAAATTTATATTTATTGAGGTTTTGCTCCCAAACCCACCACAAACTATCCCCCGTTGGTCAGTGGTTAAATTTATCACACTTACCATAATACTTTATAAACGCTGTACGAATAAGGCTCACTAAATTTGAAATAGGAATAATATAATGCAGACCACCCCATAAATAGTGTGATTATAATAATGAGCCGAATTAGGAGAAGGTAATTAGTTTGTTATGACAGTCGTGTGTAGCAGTGTGACGGAATGTGGGTTATCAACAGGTCTCGAAGGTTGTGTGTATGCTTGGCTGCGGTGAGTGACGGCCAAGTTATTCATTCAGTACTTTCCGTGATGGCAGCTCGTACACAAACTAAAAGCAATATGTCTTATAACTGGAATCACGTGAATATTAGGGATCATAACTTATTTCACCTGATGATTAAACACCCAAACCTTAACCTAACCTAACCACAACTATAATAGCTAGTGTTAGGATGTTTTAATAATTAGGTGAAATAAGCTGGGGTGCCTAAACTTCACATGATTCCTACAATTTATAGATTAAGTGATGGCATTCATAGGTCATTACAGGGATATATTTAACAGCTGACCTTGAATCTTATTTTAGTGAGGTAATGTAACAGTATACCCAGTAAGTATAGGCGGATATAACCAACATACCCGGTGATGGGAGTGGCTGACCAAGTAAGGCAATGGTAGACCCTGCAGCCGACGACTCCACACAACTGCCTGCTTTTGTGAAGACTTGGACGGGTTTGTCATATTGCAGGGTCGTGGAGGCTTGACCCTTGCCGGGGAGGGAGGGAGGGAGGGAGGGAGGGAGGGAGGGAGTAGTTTGACACGTGGTGGAGGGAGGGAGTAGGTTGACCTTTGTATGGGGAACGTTGAGCGTTGTAGGGGAGGTAGTGAGGTAGGTTGGCGTTTGCTGGGGAGGAAATGGGATAGGTTGACACTTGCAGGGGAGAGGGGGAAAGTAGGTTGGCACGTGGTGAAGGGAAATCGCAGGGTTGGCACTGACTGGGGAAGGGGAGGGGAGGGGAGGTTGATAATTGCAGGGGAAGGAACGAAAGGTTAACATTTGGTGGGAAGGAGAAGAGAGATCTGGTAAGGGGGGGGGGAGAGTGTCTGCCTTCCTGGAGCTGTCGCAGGTCTGGCAGTGGCACTCTTGGGTAGGAGGAGTCTGTCTGCTGTGTTTAATTAGTGGGAATTTAATATCTAGTGAGGGAGGATTGGTAAATAAAAACACAATATATGAGAGAGGGAGAGAGAGGGAGAGTCACGTAAGAGGAATCACTGAAGAGGAATGAGAGGAAGACCTAGATAATAAAGGGAGGAACGTGAAGAGGAGGAGAAGAAGCGGGATAACAGGACAGACAAGTTGTGGTTTTAAATTACACTGAGGAGAGACAAGAAAGCATCATAGAATGTTAATGCAGTGTTTTGTTGGGGAAGTATTAATGAGTTGTTTATAAATATTGGATTGTGGGGATGGAATATTTACCTTCATTAATACCAGATTATATCAATGTTAAGGGCATCCTGTTATCGCTGCCGACTGTCCTATTCACTCCGTAAAAAATGCATATTTAGAAACGAGTCGATATGTCAACTCTGGGGTTAAGCCGCTTTGATATGTATAGAAAACTGCACGCTATGTAATATCAACAACAACTATATGCAATTCTTTAACCTAACCCCCAATCATTTAGTGTACCTGGGGGTAAGTGTATACGTATGTTAGCTTTGTATGTACACTGTATGATTGAACAGTTGTACTGTATATATCACTGGCAGTAAACGTTATGATAGAGGAGTGAGAACTTTTGAGATGTGAGGGAGGTGTGTTGGTGGTGGTGTGTGAGGGAGGTGTGTTGGTGGTGGTGTGTGAGGGAGGTGTGTTGGTGGTGGTGTGAGAGAGGTGTGTTGGTGGTGGTGTGTGAGGGAGGTGTATTTGGTGGGGTGGTGTGCTGAGGGAGGTGTGTTGGTGGTGGTGTGAGGTGTGGTGGTGTGAGGTGTGGTGGTGGTGGTGGTGTGGGGGAGGTGTGGTGGTGTAAGGGAGGTGTGTGGTGGTGTGTGTGAGGGTGTGGTGGTGGTGGTGGTGGGGGGTGTGGTGTGGTTGTGGGGTTGTGGTGTTGGTGTGGTGTGTGGGGTTGTGGTGGTGTTGGTGTGGGGGGTGTGGTGGTGTAAGGGTGTGGTGGTGTGCTGGGGAGGTGTGGTGGTGGTGGTGGTGTGAGGGAGGGTGTGGTGGTGGTGTGGGGAGGTTTGTGTGGTGTGAGGAGTGTGGTGGTGTGGTGGTGTGAGGGTGTGGTGGTGTAAGGTGTGTTGGTGTGTGGGGGGTGTGTGGTGGTGTGTAAGGGGAGGTGTGTGGTGGTGTGAGGAGGTGTGGTGGTGGTGGTGTGTGGGGGAGGTGTGGTGGTGGTGGGTGGTGGTGTGAGGTGTGGTGGTGTGGGGTGTTGTGGTGTGAGGGAGGTGTGGTGGTGTGAGGGAGGTGTTGTGGTGTGAGGGAGGTATAAGGTAGTTAGTGAGAGAGTTAGGAGTGTTTGAGGACGGCTGGAGGTCAGGAGGCCGAGATAAGGACACGAGGGAGGTCTGGGGCTTCTGGTAATGAAAGACGGCATTGAGGTGCCCCGTGTGACTGTAGCTGCCCCCGTGTGTATCGTCAGGAGCAGCAGCAGGCTCTAGGCTCCTGCACCATAACTAGGAGTAAGCTCTAGGCTCCTGCACCATAACTAGGAGTAAGCTCTAGGCTCCTGCACCATAACTAGGAGTAAGCTCTAGGCTCCTGCACCACAACTAGCAGCAGGCTCTAGGCTCCTGCACCATAACTAGGAGTAAGCTCTAGGCTCCTGCACCACAACTAGCAGCAGGCTCTAGGCTCCTGCACCATAACTAGGAGTAAGCTCTAGGCTCCTGCACCACAACTAGCAGTAAGGTGTAGGCTCCTGCACCATCACCGTACATAAACATTGTGTGAGGCAGCCAGCCCACAGAAGCAACAGGTGGAGCCGGCGTCCAGGGGGCGTCGCTGCCGCTACTGCCGCAGGACACTACAATAATATTGTAGGTGGTGGGAGGCAGATCTCGACTCCCAGCCTCTTTTACCACCAAGTGTACACAACTGATCACTGTGGTGAGGACAGTAGTAAACTGTGTGGTCGAATTAGTTGGAATGTTGGCTATTAGCAACAGGAAGGTTATGTTCATGTGTATATATTTATAAACTTCAGTCATTTTCTATTATGTTACCAAGTCTTTTCATTGTCTACCTCAATCATAAGATATATAAAATTTAAAAAAAATTGTCATGATATGCATAAATATACACACACATGGCGAAACATTTATAACGTTACTGTACTATCTTAGAGAGATCTTGACCACTGTCACATTGAGTACCAGAACCGTTTGGAAGGGAGTACCTGTAGAGGGCCATAAAACACGGGATATCAGTGGGTGTTGCGCGCTCTTGCCTGGCCCACACCCTGTTTATTATCTGGCCCAACAACTTCTCTAGATGAGTCACCCTTGAGTGGGCGACGGGGGTCAGAGAAAACGCCTCCGGTGCGCCTTGGAAGAGGCGCTTTAAAATTTTTCGTTTACACTTTCATAGTTTTATGTCAACGATAACAACTATACGCTTTGTTTAGTACATAATGAGTATATCAATATAGTCAGATTAAGGTAACTTTGAAGGAATGTATCTGCCTTTGTTAATTATAATTAGAATGATAATTTATGAATTTGTAGAATCTGGTCTCGTCCCCGTGTTCCATATTTGGACTACACCTTAACCACTGTTGTGAATATGGATAGCGAACACAAAACCATATTCTAGTAAGTCTTGCCACATAATAGTCCAACCCGACAGCATCTGAGAGTGTGTTAGGCAAGAGTTTTTCTTACATAGTCGTCTCATGGGGCCAGCCTTGGGCGTCAGACGCAGTATTATGTGTTGTTGTGATCAGCTTAGTTTGAGGAAGGTGTTGTGATGGCGGGGACGGTGACTGGTTGGGGCAGGTTTTGCACTCGTCCGCGTTGCTGTGATGACCAGAATGTTTATTTGTACCCCAGTAAAAATATCTGTTTGTTTAAGGATTTTTTTTTTGGCTAAATATGTTTATTAAGGGAGGTTCTCGTGTGTTGATTTTGTTATAAGCTCGTGATTGACGGGTGGAGAGAGGAAAACACTCTTAGTCGTGTGGTGGTGGATGGGTGAGGGAGGTGGATGCAATGTTTGGATGAAGGAAGAACAGTGAATATGAGAGAAAATAAGAAAAAGGGAATGGAAGGAAGATTGAGAAACGAAAGGGAAGAAAAGGATATGAAAAGGTAATGAGAAGTGAAAGAAGAAAGAAAAGTGGGAAAAGGGCGAATAGAGTTTAAATGGAAGAGTTGGTTAAGAAGAGAAAGTTGGAAAGGGGGAAGAAGAAGAAAGAGGAGGAGGAGGAGGAGGAGGAGGAGAGATTTGCGGGATCTTACGTCATCATGCGTGAGTAAGTCGTCTCAATAAACCCCGTTAACAATTTATCGGGATGTTCACTAAACTTATGTGACGTAAATAAACAACAAATAACAAAGACACTTATAGCCTATAGTGAGACTACTCTGAGCACACGATAGTATTTATTAAGGTATAGTAGAATAGTACTGGACGCCATGGTAGTTTGACGGGGGCTAGTGGAATAGTACAGGA